TTTTTTTTTTTGTGAATGGGTAAAATAAATATGACTCATGTCAACTGACTAAAATTAAACAGTTAAGTCATTATGTGAAAAAAACTTGGCACTTTTTTTCTTTATTCAAGTCGTATTGACTTAAACCCTGGAATTAATGTTTAAGTGCCATGCCAGGCAAGAATTAGAGAAAATGAATAGTACTATTTAAAAACAACGAAATGAAATTCCACTTTCCCAATATAAAAAATTTTTTTTTTTTGACATTGATAGAGTCTTGTGTGACAAAATTTTTATAACCATCCATTGTGTGCGTTCATTGTGTTGCTTGCATAAATTAATAAAATCTCCTGCTGATTTAAACAATGATTGTTTATTAGATAAATATTATGCAGGAACATTTTCATTGTTTTATTAAAATTATATTAATGTAACAATAACAGTGTGTGATTATTGCTAATAAATAATCTCATCATTATATAACATATGACTAACATGCTACATACAGTGATAATGCTTTTATTTGTTATTGTTTAAACTGTATGGTCTAGATTTATTTTTTATTTTTCATTTATTATTTATCGTTGCGTGCGTACGGGGTATTCAGAGTCAACATGAATCCTTGATGATGTATATATATATATCAATATTATTGGTATTTAGTAAATTTGGGGACCTCAAAACATAAAACCCATTTCCACTCGATATAGTAAATTGTACCACATATTCTCTATTGGGTATATATATAATAACGTGTTTGTTACACGACGTATATACATCATTAATTTCGCGATATTTTTCCCACGCTATTAATTAAATTAACATTGTAAAATAATTTATTTGTCAGATTGTAAAACTCCCCCCATCATTCGTCGTAATATCCCAAAAAAAATTCGTATAATTTTTCAACAATATACACTATGAGTCACGATCAGAAAGCATAACTCCAATTAACATTCTTCGCATAGCTTTTAACCTTGAATGATCATTAATCATGCATACGTCTCTTTAAATTTTGCAAAGAAAATTTTCTAAATCGGGGAATATTTGAGGTTAGTGTGACATCCGATTATGCAAATTGCTTCCAAGAATCTTTAATTTCTTACTTAGTAAAGTAAATAATTTCGTATCACACGCTTGCACGAATTGAGGTATGTATGGAGACTTTATTAGTTACAATGATAAAAAAAAAACAATAATTCTTATTTTGTATAAATAATAATATTAACGACATAATTAGTTCCACTAACAACAATAACAACAGGAAAAACTATTTATAATTTTCGTGTGCCAAAAAATATGAAGAAAATAGATTGATGGAAATTCCAACGCATTCATCCATCATTTATCGTAAAGTTTATGCAGAAACTGTGGTGGCATCAAATGGAAAATAACATACGGAGAAGATAATGAATACATCCGTTATAAACAATATTAAACATATGGAACTTGTATAAAAAGGTACTAACTGGTACATGCAGGATACATACGGAATACTAAATACACACTTATTACGGTATTATTAGTATAGGATGGCACGGAATAGATACGTAAATGTTACTTTTACGGTATGGGAAGGTGCGGAATACAGCAGTACTAAAACTTAAAGTTACTTTATATATACGAAAATAACATGTAAATAAGTGTGACGCAAACGAATAGTAACACTAATTAATATTAATATATGATTTTTAGTTAATATGTAACGTAAACAACCACCTATTACTATAATATTTCTAAATATAGATACAAAATTTATAAATAATTTTACTTTAGATTACCTTCATTATTACAAAGTCATTGTTTACATTCGTCATATGATGATAATAATATAGTGTATTACTGTATTATATTGTTGGTATTACAAAAATCATATATTTGTTTCAAAATGATTTATTTCCATCGATAACATGAACAAAGTCATGATTGTACATTATGAATGTAGTTTCATGATATTTTTGAGTGTAGTATTGGTGGAGTTGGTTTTTTCTCTTTTCATTAAATGACCCCTTTTATTTGGATACAAAGCTAATTGGTATCAACACTGGTATTAATAGCTTTGTTGACATTGTTTTAAATTCTTTCACCCTCCAATCATTGTTGCCAGTATATATTTTAGAGTACTTTCAATAAACAAGGCTATAATGAGAAAGTTATTATCACGTATAACGTTGCAAGTTCTTAAACAACATCAGGATCGGGTAACATCTAATATAATTATACCTTATCAGTAAGATCTATTATATAGTTATATAATATGTATGGTATACCTATATCAACTTTTATTTCATCCTAATATAATATTAACATTTGTATTAAAAAAATATATTGATTTTTCTTTATCAATTATAAAAATACCTCTATGGACAACTCTTTTTTATATTATTTTTTTAAAGTCGTTGAAGTCTTTGAGGTTAAGATGATACTGTGTAATTTGTTATCTTGAGAGTTTTCATAACGTTGGCAAGATAGTCTATCATAAAGGCCGATGCTTTCATTGTTTCATCAATTAAGGTTTAGGTTTAGTGATCTAATTACTGTATAATAATTATAGTTCTAATTCTTTTCTTTCTAAACAAGGAAATTACATGCATAAACTTTAGGTCCAAGTTCATAATGATTTTTGCAAATCGAATAAATAATATGTGGAATTGTTCCTATTGTCGATCTTTGGAGTGGCGATTTTTAGAAAATTTTTTTTTATTAAACCTAATTACATTTTATTTCGCAGAAATTAAAATCTGATTAGATTAAGATTTAATTTTTGATTTTATATTTGTAATTATTTTGGATATTTCAGATATTTCAGATACTTGCGTATTTATTTTGAAATCTTAGATTTACAAATATTCAAATAGGAGATAGGATTACAGTTAAAAACTCTATTCTGCAAAAAAACATGTTATTTTTTTTTTTTTTACAAAAATTTAGAAATGTATAAGCTCAATGACCATGCGAGATAAAAAAAGAAAACTCTATAGTTTTATTCTATAAGACATAAGGAAAGATGCAATAGAGAGTTTTTTTAAAATTTTATTAAAAAAATGAAAAGAGTTATAATGGTTTAAAGTTTGTCATTTTTACTATTAAAAAAAAATTTCATCACTGATCATTAGAATATTTTCACGAAATAAAGACGTATCACGTGATACTTGTGACTCGTGAGATTCCAATAAAACAGATTCGGGAACTCCTCTATGAGAGTGATACTTTTTAACTGCAAAAATAGCAGCTTTACCAAAAAGCCACATCCTATAGGCACTCATAACCTATAACATCTTCTTGGAAATTTACGAATTTTATAGAGTGAAATAGAATTAAGAGCCAATGGCACAGTTTGTCCCAAGATTCTAATTCTGTAGTTAAAGATAAATCTCTCCGGCTGAGATTCACTTTCAAACACCTCCTTATCAATATATTCATCTGCAATGGGTTTAATAGTTTCTTTCATTTTTTTAGTTTCACGAGCTTTTTGTAAATGCTGATTTCTTTTATTCTGTTTAGGCATTTTAACAAAATAAAAAATCGCGTTCCATAAAAGGAATGATTTTCGTGGAAAATTTTTACCGGCTGGCGCAGCATTTGATGATGATGATTGGCACCATAGTAAAATAAATCCCAAGATCAAATATTTTGATCGACAAATTTATGAGGGCAGATCGGTTAATCAAACAATAATAATAATAAAAAAAAGTTTTGATCGGCAAATTTTGTGAATCAAATTTCTAATTAAATGGTCATTTATCAACTTTAACAGTTAAATTAAAATCAAGTTATTACGTAATATTAATCACAATGACATGCATACGTCGAATCTTTTTGAGTAATGATCTCTAAATATTTCAGAACTATATTTTACGTATTAAGAATGACAGAATATTAACAACATGTCTTATGTATTCCTAGATTTTAACTCTTTTATTAGAAGAATAATAAATAGTTGGTACTATATATTACGGCGATACTTGCATTATACATTTATAAAGAGCTATTTAATCAAATAAAAAGACTACATGGACAAAAGTCATGCACACGTTTAGAAATTAATTAATTGTAAAAGCGAACCTGAAATTTAGACATACGAGAATAGAGAATAGAAATCTTGAATAAATATCTATGTTGATTTGAACAAATCCTTCAAAAAATTACAACTTCAAAATGTCAACTTTAACACAGAAGTTAACGTGGCGAAGTCATCTGACTTATAAAAATGCTGTACCCAGTTACAAAATAACCGGAATTATTTGTGTTTGATGAAGAAAATCTTACCACAAAAAATGGGGCAAGATACAAACAAGGATAATCAAAGCAGTAATTGAAAGTAAATAACCAGGTGGCTAACAAAATATTGAGATATAATTATTATGTGCGTTTTTCTTGTAATAAATATATAGTTGTCAATTTGATGATCTTTTTAGTCCTACAATAACATTTTGTGCAATTAATTTTTAAACTTGGTGTAATTTGTTATATTTATATTTATATATATATGTATATATTATTTTATTTTTAAAAAAAAATATATAGGAATGAATCATAAAAATGTGATTTCGAATTTAAATTATTAAAAACTTTTTCTTGTTTGTGTAAAAGGAAACGAATATGATGATGATTAATTAATCCCTCGTGATTCGATTTGCGTAATCGATTAATTTTTCGATCATAACGATAAAGTGGAAATAAATTTTTTTGCCAATATGCGAAACTATTAATATCTACTACTACTGTGCGAATTAACTAGTCAAAAAATATATTAAAATAGAAAAATTAAAATTAAAATTAAAAAAATTAAATAATGAAAACGATTAATCGAATTAATAAACAAATAAACAAATAAAGAATAAATAAAGAAAAAACAAACAAACAAAAACAAACAAACAAAACAATAAACAAACGAATGATAAATTTTAAAAACATTTTTTTAAATTTTTTTTAAATTATAAATAAATTAAAATAAAAAAAGCAACCACCAATTTGTCCAAATTGAGAATTTTGATTCGCCACGATTTTCGAAAGATAAGTTATATCGTAGCTTTTAAGATATTTTTTGTTCTTCTTGCTATGTCTTTAAACCTTGCTTTTACTGCTCGGCCTGATCGACGATATGACAGAGTAGAAGCACGGTTTATGATGTTATCGTTTTGTTCGCCAACCCGATGCGCTGCCTCGCGAAAGTTAATTCTGTAAATGTGTATTCCTTTGAGGCGATTTGGATCTTTGATTGTTCCTGGGAGTCTTTCGCGTAATATATTGGGATCATTAATCGGTGCAGGATTTACATTAGCGTCAACCTGCACTGTTTCAATCAACGCCTCGCATGCCTCTTTGATGTTCATCATTAAACAAATTTTTTATTATAATAATAAATAAAATTGCTATGTGTACCGGAATAAGTCAAAAATGTATAAATAAATATATTTGTTATATCTGAGAGAGAGAAAGAGGTGAAGGAGGAAAAGAGAAAAAAAAAACTTGAAAAGAAAAAATCGATCCTTTATAAAAGTTTTTGTCTGAAAATAAAATAGATCACGGCATATATGTATTACCGATCTTTTATCTTTAAACAATATGAATTCAATAAATAATGACACGTAACAAATTAATTAAAATCCATTTATTTTATAAGATTTATTTAATTTATTTATTTTATTTATTTATTAAATTATTGATGAGCAAATCAAATAAATGCACAAGTAAATAAATAAATAAATATTTAAAACTATTATTTATTTTACACGGGTGATCTTAAAGGAGAGGGTTGTTTAAATTAGTCATCTTAGGTGATTTATAGTTTTATTATCATTTGATAACAATACATGAGGTTATTTTATTGCTGTTTTACAGATATATGACAACATGTTGTTCATCATTTTTAGGAAGGAATTGAAAATGAATGATATCAATTGTCTCATAGTATATATACTGATCACATAAAAATGGACCATTGTTCATTGTATTATAATTATGTGTTATAATTAATTGATATATTATTTAATTGGTTTCGTATGTTACACACGCAAAAAATGTGAAGATGAAGATTGGTTCTCATTGTGATGATGAGATATTAAGTTAGTGGTAAAATTTAATTATATTGCATTATTTTTCGTTTCAAGAGATTAATTGGTTAATTGAACAATGATTGTGTTAATAAATATCAAATGTGGAATAAATGGAGTATTACGTGAGAAAATTTCCATTTTTTTTAATTTTATGGTTTTGGGGATTGTTGATGTTTCAATACCTCTTCTTCAAATTAGTAATTATTTATCGTATGTTTTTATCGTTATATTATTATATTGTTAAACGTAGCAATAATACGTGTAAGCATATAGCATGTATACTATGTCTTATATATATATATATAAGTTATTGATTATAAAGATTGTTTGATAAAAATCATTTATTAAGTAAGTCATTAGAAAAAGATGATTGGTTGCTTTATTTATTATCGATCGCGAAGATGATTTCACTGTTTAAACTATTTGGTCTATAAATTAAATTAAAGGAATAGTCTCCTCACACAACAGATATTATATTAAAAAATCAGTCGTGTAACACAAAAAATAGACTAGGCATTAAAAATAGATTATTATTATTAAATTAAATCTAATTTTATTTATTTATCATAACAAAAAAAAATCAATTGACCAAGGGGGATAATCTCAATACCAAGTACGGCAATAAGATTTTCAAATGGAGCCAACACCATATACGTTTTTCGTCAGCAAAGACAACTAATGTAATATTTAATATTATTAATAATAAAATTGCCATTGAAATTACAGTGTCCAAACTCCAATAATGTTGGTTAAATTTGTAAAAATATTTAATAAATTATCAAAACTTGTAGTAATTTAAAGAAAATTTGTAATAGGAGGAAAATTTATAAATGCTGTCGATCTCCCGGTTTTTTTAATACGTAAGCAGGGGGACAATGATCCTTATTATGGATGGGCGCTGATCATAGAGATTTATTTACAACATATACTTTGCATATTAACAGCATGCTCTTTCTATTTATTATTATTAACTCTTTTATTAGAATAATGATAAATAGTTGTAATATGTATATACTGCGGCGATACTTATTGTACATGGTAATAAATATAATTTGATAATTTTTATTTATTTATTTATATAAAAAGACTACATGGGGCAAAAGTTTAAATTTAATTGTACAAAACGTAAAACAAATCAATAGTTCAAAAATGTGAACGTGAGAATAATAAACATCTATGTTGTTTGAACAAATCATTCGAAAAATCATAACCTCTAAATGTCAACTTAACAGAAAGTCAACTTGATAAAGTATCTGGCTTTATAAAAATACTGTATCCAGTTACTAGAATTATTGTGTTCATAGAATATAACAGTGTTTTGTACAATTAAAGCATCGCAAAAAATGGGACAAGATACAAAATGATACAAACAATGTCCTGAATGAAATTGATTGAGAGCATGCAAGGAGAGTCATTGAAAATAATGATGACCAACAAAATGTCGTGTTGTTTATTAATATTATGTGTAAAAAAATTTTGATGATCTTTTTTTTTTTTTCATTGTGTTTTGTGCGATTATTTATATTTATTGTTATTATTATTATTTATTATTATTTTTAAAAATGACAGAAAATAAATTATTTACAAAAATAGTAAAAACGATTCTAAATTATTAAAAAAATTTTCTTTTGCCAAATGATATCAAAAGAATACATGAAACGTGGATTTATTAAATAATTAAGGGATTTAATTTGCTTAATTAAATTTTTCGTGCGTGTGTCTATTTAAATAAATTAAAATAATAAAACGATGATGATAAACTGTTCGTAATCAGTTATCAAATAAACTTATGAAATAAAATAAAAAATAATCGTCGATTTTTGCCATAAAATTTTTGATTTTGCCAAAAAAAGATGCAATTTGTGCATTTAGTTTTTGAAGTATTCCATTTTCGTTCGTATTTGATTCGCCAAATTACAATATCTCTCTTTCACCGTTTGGTCCGATTCACCAAATGATTTAGATGAAGCACTTTTTATAAACTCCTTGTCCTCATCACTGACTCGATGTGCCTCCTCGCAAAAGTTAATCCTATAAATACGATATGCTGTAATCTGGTTAAAGTCTTTTCTTTTAACGAATATTTTGCATAATGAATCCGGATCGCTAATTGCTGGGATATCCACGTTGGTTCCAATTTGCATCAGTTCAATCAACCTTTTATATCTCTCAGGGTTCATCGTCAAATAATTTATTATTATTATTATTATTATTATTATTATTATTATTATTATTATTATTATTATTATTATTATTATTATTAT